TTTTTGCTATTTCGAGATATCCTTTTTCATCGATCCATACTGCTGACAAATAAATCTACCTAGATTCACTATTCGATACGAATTCGTGAGTAAAGATAAATCGATTCCGATCCCGAGTGACTCAGTTTTACAATAAATAAATTGCTGAAAGCTACCTTTACATCATTATATTTTGTTTTTCTAATAAAGTTATTGTCTACGAATTACAGTTCGTGAAGCTTTATGAAATCTTGATTGAAAAATCCATTTTCATATTATGTTTATCCGACGTATCGAAAAATTAGCATGATTGATTTCATGAAATCAGTTGAAATGGAAAATTGGTGTATGTGATTATCAAATCTGAAAATTAGAAAGATATTTCATGCAATTCAATACCAATAATTAATAGCGAATATTAGGTATTAGGTAATAGATGGGGGTTTCATGATATCAAGTAAATTCATTTGGAAGAGGAAAATTTCTTGTCTATAGAAATAATATGAAACATCGAGAAATTTACATTAACTGATTCTCATTAATTCAGTCTTGCTATTTCAATATTATTTGGAGTTTATTTACAGCTTCTAAGCATCTAGTAATAACTTTTGAATATTATTATGTGGCATAAGATTACTCGGGAGCATGAGATTAACTAAGTCTTCTATAAGGCATCGGTATCGTATCTTACATGAATTTAATTTAAATTTAGAAGGAAATACGAAATGCGTCGTACTTAAACTACACGAAAATTATCCAATAAACAGTGAAACATAGCTTATGAAAAGCTGAATTGAATTTCACACACAGTGTTCCTCATGAGTGAAACATTCTTTTTTTTCATGTAGCTCCAAAGAAGTAAAAGGTTAATGTCCAAATAACATTTAAAAGAGTTGAAATTCATTCACGACATATCCATAATTAATAATCAGTAATATTAATTATTAACTTTTAACTTCTATAGAAATAAATCTTAATCATTCATTAAATTTGAATTACATCAAGATTACAATGAATAGATGTATATCAGCTGTATATAACATAGTCGTTCAATTCAAATGAAAAAGCAAACTGTATTCTCTATTCTCACGTACTTACATGCATACAACGCTATAAACATCCAATTAGACGTATGTACATTCGTCAAACAATGTACAATCAAACAGTGAAGAAAAACATGACTAATTCTCAGAAATAACACGAACCTACGTCCACATCGAAAAATCCGTTCGGGTTTCGTTGTGAAAACACCGATGTCCCTGCGAACGTCGTTTTCTTTACATCAGCATCGAAATGAAGAGCTACGGGAGAACGAATAAGAACGATACGACAGTCTTGGCATGACTGTAACATTTTACCCTAAACACCAAGCAATAAGCCGTAAAGTAAATTTCACGGTGCTGAATAGATTGGACGGACCGCGTAAGCCAGCCAATCCCGCGCATGATGTAAGTACATATCCGGGGTCCGATGAAAAGCCAGAAGCTGGTCCCCGATTGCGTATAACATCAGTCACAGTCGAGATTGCTCCATTAATCGTTGCCTAGCCAGCCGTGATATTATCGTTTCATGATGGGACCACGTCCTAAATAAACGCCGACACAGTGAAGAGGCTGCTGGTACGTGGGAGAAAAGTACACTGTACATTTGGTTCACGAGGAAGCTGGCCAGGAAAGAAGAAAACGAAGGAGAAGAAAACGAAGGAGAAGAGTAGAAAAAGGTGGAAGAGGTAGAAGAGACGAAACAAGAACGGTAGGAAAGGATATATAGTTTGTACTCGAATTCCAACAATGAAAGCTTTCTTAAGAGTATGGCGCTGGGAGAATGCGAGCACGACTCGCTGTGACCAATAGAATCTAGTTACCCAAGTTCGGGCATAGCTGCGAAATTTGAAAGCGGCGAGCACAAAGGCTCCTTCAAAAATACGGCCACTGGGCGTGCTTACACCACGGCGAACGCGAACGTCATTGTTTCGTTCTCCGTTCTTCCAGCGCTGTTTCTCGAATTTCCCGAATTTCTCGAATTTCAATGCAACCTTTGACGAACTGCCCGCTTCTGCTACCCGCGGAACTCTCACACTGCGAGAAAATAACGATTTCACGAGTCCGTTAAGTTATCACCTGAACTGTTTATGAGAACGAGTCAGAAGGAGAGAGAGGGAGAGAGGGAGAGAGACAGAGAGAAATAGAGGAAGAACGATCGTGCACAAAGTTTTGGATAACTTTCGATCTCCATGCAACATCCGCATATGGAGCAAGGAACGAAGATAGGATCGTTCAATAATTTCGCAGATGGAAATGGTGATTGTTACCATTAGATGGTAATTGGTGCTCGGGAGCACTTGATTCGAACACACTGGTAGATTGGAATGATTATAGATAATTAAATAAAATTCTATTTTCGGTTCTGTGCAATTTAATTATGTAAATTATTGCTTCTCATTTAAGGACAACTTCGTCTCTACACATAGATCTACATTTATAGCATCTTTATTAAATTAAATGCAATAATCAGAGTGAAATCTATAACAGAACATGACATCGTTTGTCAGGGACGACAGCAGTTCCAGAAGAAATCTAACTTTATGTGAACATATATTTATTAACTGCTGGGTACTGTTAATAGATAATGTTCAATGCGTCATTCATAAATCCTGGAATTTGTTGGCCTGAATTTAAAGAAAACACGTTACAGTTTTGCAAAACATAAACTATTGTTTTCATCAATCACTCATCAATCTTCAAGCAATGATTAGGAAGACTGGTAAATATATGAAACTAATAAACGTTCCTTCGTCATTAATATCTCAAGATAATGGATAACCGTGGAGAAGATAAAAGGCAATGTAATATACTAAAGTTTGATAATTACCAACACCTGAACGTAAGTGATTATAGAGAAAGTATTACCATTGAAGACTTATAATCTTGTCCTTATAGATTTAAATACACCTTCGTAAAGCAGAAATTGCTCTTTGAAGTCCGACTTTCCCAGCCAATATAAACTTTACCTTCTCAAATTTTGACGATGGAAAACTTTGCTACTTCAAAGTTTACATTACGCTCACCTTCTTCTCACCCCACGATTGTTTCCTGAACTTTCATTTTTAGTCATTAACAGACGTATTTTGAGAATAATTATATATTGAATACTTTACACTGAAATTTTTCAAAAGTAAGAGCGAATGGGAAATGCTGTCATCTTAGAACTGAAATCAGTAGCAGTTGATTATATTTGTAAATAACAGTCTACCAAAATGCTCTAATTACGAAATATTATTAAAAACACCTGTACTAAAAATACCTGTAATACACTGCAAAGCTAACACACAAACTGTATAACGTTTCACGTGCAATACAGATATAAAAATGAAGATAACCACGAACATGTGTACATAGATGAGTGTAAGAAAGTTCAATTGCGTTACAAATGAACCACTGCGACGACAGAAAAAATGGCGTCCCAGGAAGTTACTTGTTAACTCCACCATGCGATATTCCTATTTACCAGTTTTTACTACTTTCGCAGAGAAAGGAGCTACAATTTGTCTAAGTTATAAGAATTTCCGAATGCAGTTGTCCTAGTGGAATATCGTTAAACTTTCAACCGCAGGTTGTCATGATTTCCAACTTTAAATTATAATTTTAACACCTCGAATATCCAACGAGAACACACAGAGATATTACATTTAGTTTGATTTTAATAAGTGGACTTCTTTGAACGAGTTAATAACAAGTGAGAATAACAAATGAAGTTGGTGTGACAAAATTAAACAGGATTAACTATTAACGAATTTAATGTCTATAAATTATAATAGAAGTTGCCATAAATCTCCATCGAATTAAGTCTAGAGATAATCACTATATCTGTTAATTATATTAATTACTGTAAAGATTTAACACATAAGTTCTGATAGGCATCAGATAAAAGATTGATTGATTAATCAAATTAAAAAGCTATACACAGTTTCGTATAAAATGCTTTTAACACATTTGCATATAATTGGCAGTTAAGAGCAGTCTAAAGGTATCTTAAAAACGAACAAGGTTATAAAATAATCTTAACAGTTATCTTTATAGTACCTTGATTGCCATTCATCTCCTCTTAAAAGTTATTGCTAACAGTTAAAATTTTAATTACAATATTGTAATACGTGCTATTATCCAGACTAAGTATAATAGATTCAGTAAACAATTAATAGCACATACATGTTTTCAGTTTAAGGAAAAACCTTAATTAACTGAATTAAATTAAGTTACTGTTCCAAGATATATAAGGTTTTGTTCACACTTAAGGTTCCCTGTTATAATTGTTCAAACATTTTCGTAACCACCACTTACACAATAGCTGCATTTAGTAAAATCTCTCTATAATAACTGAAATTAAATGTTTAACAATGATTCTGAAGTACAAAGATGACAATGGAAAACTGGAATATCTACGCTATCATCTCATAACTATATAACTCTACTAATGAAGTAAAATAGTCGAATCATATTAACAATTGTTTTGTTCTCAATTTAATTCAATACTACTTCACCCATTCTGCAGTAAGTACAATAAAAAAAGAAAGGAAAAAGAAGTAATTACTGAATCTCATAAAAAAGTAGCATGTTTGCAACTGTAATACTGATATTTCGGCAAAAAATAATTCCGATCTATTTCAACTAACTATTTCAATTAACTGTGAGCTCGACTGATTAACGCTACCTATTTACTTCAACGATGGCTTTGAACGATATCGAGTTGAGATATTTACGAAGAAGAATCCGTGGTTCCCTGCTTTCATCGAAAATGTCGGTCTGCTTCATTAGGGACCCTTTTATCAAGATAAGGATTCATTCAAATTGTCCGTGGAATTTCGGCAAAGGATCTTCATTTCGGATAAGAAAAAAAGATAGAAAAGCGTGGAGCCAACGGAAGCAGTCCCTTTATCCTCGAGAGCACTTAATTTACCGTTATGATTAATCGCGGTTCGATTTTTGATGTTCCTGTTCCAATGTATCCTATTCGTTTCTCAGGACGGCAATCGAGGAATCTGAAAATATTGGAGGAAATATCGGGTCACCATCACGGCACGCAGTATGCATCGATGTCAGAAAATTACAAGAACAGTAAGTAATTAAAATTTTTCTTGCTATTCCATAACGAACTAGCAATAAGCAGCAACATAAACTTATTTGAAATAGTTTAATTAGACCTACAAAGGTGGATAAAATAAGAACAAGCAATTTGAATAATCAAAATTAATACTTATAAATATGAATTAGAAACTTTTGCAAGTAAAAACCTTCGATTTAAGCCCAATGGCAGTAGATGAATTTATCAATTTCAAGATAGAAATATATTTAATAGATCTATAATAGAATTTTGTATATGGTTATAAGTATAGAAACACGTTTTACACATTATTGAAATATAGAATTACTGGCAAAAGTTAGGAAACTTAATGATTCGTGAATTTTTATATATTTCGTATTTTCTAACATACATGAAGAGATTAAAATTAGAAATAGACTTTGTACAAGATATCTGATGAAGTTTTATTGTATATTGGCCAATAGAATATTATCACTTAATTCTATTTTCAAGTTTAATATACAGTGTGCCTAACTACCCGCGGAACGCCCTGTATATCTTCCACAAAATAAAGAATATACAGGAATTCACAAATCTTTATTTTGGTTCTCAGCTTTTGCCAGTAAGTATGTAATTATATTTCAAAAGATGAATTAGGTGTATTCAAAACTTTATATTTTACATTTTTCGATTTGATATAATACAAATATATAATTGCATATATGTTAATCCTTGACAGATGTCTGACATTATTAAGATATTTACGGTAAAGAAATTAATATCAGTTCGATAAATAATAAACAATTTGTCTTTAAAGCAAGAAGAGTAATTTAAAAAATAGTAGATAAAATTATACAGATATATATTTCCATCCCAAATAAGAAATATTAAGTATAGTAATAACATCAAAATGCTACTCATTAAGTAATTTTCCAATTCAGAACATAAACTGCGTCTTAGATCATAGTATATCAGAATCTTACCCTATAACCCTATTTTTAATGACATGAAACATTTCATAACTCAAAACATACTACAAACTATTAGTACAAATTAATGTGGAAAAATAGGTTCGTCACATTATAATCTTTTCACTAACCATCTGTGTGTTTGACGAAACTTGAGTGCTTGATGAAATTTTAAATACATAAGAAATTCACTCAAACTCATATTCATAGTCACAGAAAATCTGACATTCTCCTTTCGGTCGTCGAAACAAGAAACAAAAACACACACGTTGAAGATTGAAAAACAGACTTGCCGCATAGAATTGAAGCAGCGAGTGGTCATACAGCATTGACCATAATCCAGCTTGAAATCAGTAGCGGTAGCCGCGAAATCTCGAGGGATTAGCGCGATTGAGATCACGTTGCCTCTCTCTGTTAGCCACCTCTCTCAATCTCTCTTCCGGGTCGGATGTTGAAAATCACGCACTCGCAGCACGGTGAACGGTCGGGCGAAAACGGAAACATTATTGTTGTTGCTGTAGTTGTTTCTGCTGAAAGCCGATATAAAGTAGCAAACGGGTGTGTTTTTGCATTGCGTTAACGACTCTGCTGCTACGCGAGTACCAGTAAAATTGCCCGTTTCATGTGCCGTTCTATACATGCGAGCTCGATTGTAAAATAACATTCCCCCGTGTCGGTTCTTTCCTACTACGGCTTGACCTTCGATACTGATGGCACTTTCCACCATTGCAGAAGCTTTTCGTTGGCCTGTTTCGAAACAACTCTTCGTAATTGCTCTGCTAGGTGCAATCGCGGTGAGAAGTACCGTTCGGTGTTGAGGTCAAAGGCTTTTAACAGGTCAAATTTGAATGAAGGGGATTAAGATAATTATTACTGTTGTAGCCGTTAGGATTTGGTTAAAATCATCCAGTGAAATGCGTTCTAGTAATTTTATCAAAGGTTGAAGAAAAATTTGGAGAAAATTGAAACATTGATGAAACGATGCAATTAAGTATTTGCTTTACTGTTGATGTAATATAATGTACTGTCCCGGAAAGTGTGTTTATATGATTTTTATTTTAATACTTGTACTTTAACAGATCTAACGGTTCATATTATATTTTGTATTACGACTGCAAACCCGGAGGATAGTCGTGTCTCACTGCCGTTCCAGCGGATTAAGCTATAAATGTAAAAGCGAATGTTTAGGAATTTTTACAAGTACCACACTCGACAGATTGACCCACGTGCGACAGACCCACCAAGAGACAGACGGACACCACTTGTAAATCGCGTCATTGACTATCGGAAATCGGCTCCTTGACAGTTTCCTACTCCTTAGCCAAAGGTCCTTCCATCACATCCTCTGCCCAATCAAGGATCCTAACTTTTCCAACACTAACATTTATCCTACCTAATCAGAATCTAACTGAAGAAAACACCGGACAGGACACGGCAAGACACAAGACAGGCCAAAATTAAGAAGTCAGTTCGTCTTCGACACCAATCCCTGAAACAACGTACATATATTTATAAACGCCTGTTCGAAATGGTACTCCGGTAAACGTCTCTACTGTAGCTATTATATACTTTACTGTAAATAAACACTCTATTTTAACAACACACTCGGGATCCTTAATATCACAAAACTAATCACGCAATATTAATTTGGCATGTGATACGTGTTCTTGGAGATCGAAGAGATTCGATATATAGGACGCTAAATATAATATATAAAAATTTGGGTTAGGTAACAATGATACAAGTGTTTCATTGCGAAAGAAATGAAAATGTCGAATTGCAAGCACATTTCGACAGAAAAGTTTCACATAGAATTCCGATATTTATATTTGAGGATAAAACGAAAGATATTTATTTCAGAATTTCATTAAATATTATTAAATTCAACTATTTCATTGGATCGACGAAAAATTTTCGAAACGATATATTCTAATATAATTCATATAATACAAACAATTAATAATGGGACGTATTGGCAAATATTTACAAACAATATATCACAAAACCGAAATAATAAAGAATAATATAAAATTATTAATCGAAGCTGATGATTCTGATATTACTTACTGCGTGCAATCGAACTTTTCATAAAAACATTCACGTTAACTAATATCGTACTGCCTATACATCAATATAAAATACATAAAATGTACAACTCGATATACGCTAAATCGGACCTTAAACTACAATATTGGGTTATATAATTAAATAAACAAAATAATTTCCATTCTTTTTTTATGATTCAGGAAAATTCAAATATCTAAAGATATTTAAATATTTGCAAAAGTGAATCATATATACGTATTATATAGGAATTGCTCAAAAATCATAATATCGCGTAATATTGGACAGTGATTAAATACCGTGACAGAGGCTTATGACTTGTATACTCGCCAAAAATTTTCATTTATGCTACATTCATATTCCTGTCGCAATTTTTAAACATAACTCAGAACATTCCAGCATGTCTCGGTGCTTTTAGTAATCGGCCGAATTCGAAAAAGGAACCACATTTTGAGACAACCACTATCGTCGATCATAGTTTCACGCGAAGGCGTGCTCATCTTTCTTCTGAGCCATCTTCCTTTTCCCAAGAGAAGTTCGAGGTGTTTCTGCACGCTCCATTATTTTGCTCGCATTTCCTTCCTTCCCCTGCTCATTCAAGGCGAGGGGAACATCTTTCTTTCTTTCTTTCTATATCCAGACCTTTCCCTTCTTGCCACGAGGCAGCAGCGACTAATCAACGACATTGCTGTACGAGAAATTCTACGATATGACCAATTTCGCAGCCGGGGAGAGTAGAGGGGTTCATATATTCCGCGTTAAGCCGACATTTTCTACCCTCCTGCTCTTCTGATAATGGGCTCTGGCTTGATTTCGCTCTGAATTTCGCGGATACCGTTGCTTCGACTTTAGTTACAGCGACCTCGAATCTTTTGCGATTGCCAATTCTCTAGGTTTAATGATTTTATTACGATCCGAAAGCCTGAGATCGGTTTCTGCACCATTCACTTTGGGATAATTGGATTATTACGCGGATCTCCACGAATTTTATTCCTTAACGCGTAGAATCAATGAATAGCTAATACTAATATTTTTTTTAATGCAAGTAACTTATTGAAAAGTTTCTTGCGAACATGTTTCAACTTTTCTCTCGTCTACTTGATCAAATTCGCGTAGAATCAAATATGCCTAACTACGGATCAAACAGCTCTCCGATCCGAAGTCATATAAACTGATACTTAGATCACGATAACTATAGCGAGTGATCGAAACCACACGGATAACCAAAAATCGTCGCAATCGCCCAAACTGCTATATCATGGACAATAAAAGCAAAGGAAAGGTTCTGTAGATTAAAATTATGAAAATTTAAAATGCTCAAAGTGATTGAAGAAAGATTGAAAAGGCCAACAATTTTTCCACAAGGAAATTACAAGGAGTATTTATCTTCAAATACACGATATCTTGTTTCACTCAGTGGTAATAAAAAGGCAAATATAGTAGTTAGACTGAAAAAACGAAAGTTTGATTGCAGCACATATTTTATACGATGTATTGATCGAACGCGTAACCTAGATTTCCAACAGGAAAGCGAAAATTTTCCTGAAATTGAATCTTCGAAAAAAAATTTTAATTAATCCACATCAACAACGGAACTCAATTGTACGTTTACAAGACTGTTAATTAGTATAGTAAAAGTAAAGACAAAATAATTTGTTTATCTCGTTTACATTCTAATCAATCGAATATCATTTTCGACAAAAGGTTGTTACGATTACGATATAGATCAAATATCACAAAACATTGACATTATGTATTATATGGAATTGTACTGAAGTTACAGCCTCCTCAATGGTATCAGAAGATCAAAGATCAAAGAATTATTTCCCTTAAAGTAGTAATCATTATGATACAACAATGTAACTTGAAAAATAAGATAATATTAGCTCAAAAATGATTTTTAGAGCAAGTTTATATTCCTACAATGGACTCGCAAGAAAAAGGATCTAGAAATTATTCTTCGCTGTTCATCGATCCAGTTCGAGATTTAAATGACGTAGCAG